ATGTGGGTGAGGTGGTAGGGATATAGCTCAATGTAAAAGCCCTGGATTCAATCTCCAGTATGAGGTTAAGGGGGACAAGTCATGAAGGTTTAGTCACTTATTTATAAATAACCCAGTGTCCCTCTACAGTAAACAGACCAATAAGCATATCCATACCAAGGAATCCCACGTGGCATGAGACAATAATTTCGTGACTCTATGGAGATCACCTCTTGAGGTTAGGTCACCTACCCTCAAGAGCAAGTGGCTTGAGATGATAAGTAATGGTTCCACTCAAACAGCTTTCTGGAGAAGGCAAACTACAAGATATGGAGGGCAGGGGCCAGCCAGCCAGCTCAGCGGATTAAAGCAATTGCTTATGTAGACGCAGGGGCTAGGGGTTTGATCCATGGCTTGCGTGTTGGTGTTGGCCCTGGCCCTGGCCCCAGCCCCGTCCCTGTCCGCAGGGCACACTGAGAGGGCGACTGAGACTGGGCATGGTGGTGCATGCTTGTAATCCCAGTGCTTGGGAGGCTGAAAAACAGGAAGCATCGCAACAATTCTGATCTGTGTAGTGAGATCCTGTAGACCTTGCACTAAAACATTAAAAACAAAAAACAAAAAAAAATTGGAGGGCAGCAAAAGGGTGACCTGGAGCTGGGTTTGGGGTGTTATACCAGTACCTAGAGGCACTGTATTAGTCACTTTCCCATCACTGAGACAAAAATAGCTGACAACTACAGCTTAAATGAGGAAAAGGTTTAACTAGGCTTTCAGTTAAGGGGATTTAGTCCCTAATCTGCTGGCTCCAAGGCAAAAGTAGAATGATGGAAGGGCACTACACAGGAAAGCTGCTTACCTCATGGCAGGCAGGAAGCAGAGAAGAGAGAAACAGGGGAGGGACGTGTACCCCCAGAGGCATACCCCAGTGACACACCTCTTAACAGCACATTAGCTATAAATAGCACATAAGCTATAAAAATCAGTACATCAATCCATGCAACAGTACAGTACCTCATGATCCAATGACATCCCAAGGTCCCCCACATGAAAATTATAGAGGGCATTTGCCATGATTTGTATCTAGATGTCCTCCCAAAGCCTCAGGCAGTCATTGGTGGTACAATTTTGGAGGTGGCTGGATCTAGGGCGTGATGCTGGATTAAGGGTGCCCTGCCTTGGGTGTAGGTGGTACCACTCAAAAGGCTGGATTGAATAAGAGAGGCAGGTCTGCTATTGGTTGCTTCTTGCTTCCTTTTGCCTCTCTGCTATAACATGGTGTATTTTCTCCTCATAATGTACCCCTTCCATGAAACTTTGCCCTGGAGCCAACCACTGATAGAATAAAACTTGTAGGAATTGAGTTGAAAAAAACCTTTCCTCCTTCAACTTTGGGTGTCAGGTATTTTGTCTCAGCAAAAAAATAAGACAGCATCCTCGATCTAAACTGTAATAGGTGCCCTACAACCAAGCTACGTTCCTAGCCATTTTAGTTTTATTCTGAGAAAAGCTCTAGTTAAGTTGCCCAGGTCAGACTTGAACTTGCAATCCTCCTGCTTCAGCTTCCCTCAGTGCTGGGATTACCACACACTCAGTTGTGCTCTGTGTACTGACTGTGATCTGAACTCCAAGACTCCATGCATTTATTAAACTCAAAGCTATACCATAAGCAGAAGTAATATGATGGAGACAATAAAAGAACAGGGGTAAAGCAGATTAATGTGCCTGCTTTGGCAGACCCACGTGCGTGTGCCTGTATCCCAGCCCTTGGGAAGCTGAAAACAGGAAAATCACTACGAGTCTGAGTATCAGTCTGACCTGTACAGTGAGACCTTATAGACCCTGTACTAAATACATTAACAAAAAAAAAAAAAAAAAAAAAAAGATCAGGAGTTATTGAGGGTTGGGAAAAGGCAAAGATGGACAGAATGCAGGAGATCTGTAGGGCATAGAAAATAATCTAGAAAAAACTTTTAATAATGGAAATGTGTCATACATCTGTCCAAACTTCTGGCATGTCCAACATGAGGAGGGAGCCATAATGTCTATCTGGGAGATGACAATGTATCAGTGGAGGTGCACAGGCTGTAAGCATACTAATGCAACATGGTAGTAACAGGGGAAAGGTTGGAGAGGGGTGTTGAATGCTATATTCTCTAGCAAATAGTGAAAACTACGTTAAAGTATTAAGACAATGAATATCTATACACAACCCTTCCAACACCTCCCACCAACCTACTCACCACAGGAAGCCAGCAACAGTTTTCACCTAGCACAAATCTCCCTCACTTCAGTGAGACTGTACTGTGAGGCATACAGTGAACCATAGTGACCAAAACCCAGCTAGAGCTGTCATTTGACTTGTAACTCAGTCAGTTGAGGCCTAGAGGATCCAGGGCAAATGCCAAATTCCAGTGCCATCATTTTCCATTGGATTCTCATGGAAACAGTCCACATGTCAGTAGACAGCACCAAAGGGATGCCTGACTCAAAGCACATTTCAATGTTGTCCATCAATCTGCTTGTACTGTGAGTATAAGCCTGGTCACCTACACAGAAACTCTGGGCTACTGTATATACCAAGTCTGCTCCTCACCCCTTCTTGAGCTAGGCCTTCTGCAGGTAGTGAGATGCAGGTACCTTACTTCTAGGTGCCTCAGCCCAGGTCTTATCATGAGCAACAATGCTAAGACCACATCATCATCTAGTACACATTCCAAAAATCTACCTTCCCACTTGTCCCTGTAATATTTTTTTTTTTTTTCTTTCCAATACCAGGAATTAAACTCAGAGCCTCTTATTCTACTGAGCTATACCCCTGGCCCTGTCTCTAATAATCTTTATAACAGTTTTTTCCTTCCCTTTCCTTTTTGCTAAAGACGCAAGATCTAACCAAAGTTGTCAAAGGTATTCAATCTCTAACTCTAGAAAGAGCTGCTTGGTGTGATGAGATTATCCACACATGGTGGAAAGAGCCTGTTGCTTGAGAAGCCCTCCTAGGGATTGTATGGCAGATGTCTGCAAGTGGAAAAAGTACTCCACCTGACCCATCCCCAGCCCTGGCTTTCTATACAAGTTATGCTTGGTTCTGGAGACGAGTAACTTGGAACACTGACTTCATTCCATGAATTATGAAATAAAAGGTTAAGATTCACCAGCAAATTGTACTGTAACTTGATAGTACGAAGGTAACATCAGAGCTGTCTCAGCCTGAGTGCTTCCAACTTCTGGAGAAGGTTCCTCAGATGTGCAAACACTGCTCAGCCTGGCAGAAGGAGAAGGTAGGAAGGAGGAAGGTGGATGCAAAGGACAGGGCAATCTCACCCCATAACCCCGCACAAGCATGGCTGGCATCCCCACACTGTGGTGGCCTCTATTTCTGAGACTAGTTCTACTCCAGAATCCTTCATTTATACGTATCATTATTTACTGCCCCCCCCCCCAACTAATCCCCCTATACTGGGGATCAAACTTGGGACCTTGCGCTTGTCAGGCAGGTGCTTCTTATGCCACTGAGCTATGTCCCTGGCCCCTTTCATTCATTTTTAAAGCTACTTGGCAGGGTATCTAGTCATGCCTCTTTCACACAGCAGTGATACAATCTAGTTCCTGCAAGGCCTGACTTCCAACAGGGCAGTCTGTATAAAGCTTCAGCAACCCGATGATGGGACCGATGTAGAGCTGCACTGTAGCCACTTACCCACAGGTACATAGTTCCAGGAGTCAGACTCTAAACTTGTGGGATACTGGGGTGGCCAGAGGTGTAGCAAGGCCATGTTCTGCAGACAGAATGGCCGGAACATTCATGATAGCTCCAAAGATTCTGACCAAACACCTGGGATTCAAGGAATAGGGAGAAAGACCTGGTAGGATGAGTGTTAGATGGTGTCTGAGGGACATGGCAGCTACCACTGAGGGGGTATAATACTAAGTACCTCCTACATGCAGAATTCAGGACTGTATGGCTAGGCTGGATCTTTCATAGTTCCTTGATCTGAGCAAGGGGAGCTTTGAGAGACCTGAAGTGGGAGGCATGGCCAGAATGGCTCAGAACACTTGCAAAATTTCCAACCTTCCCATCAAGCAAGATGGTTGAGCAAGATACACTGGGGGAGGGGGACACGCACAAAAGTGGAAGCTCCCAGGCGGTGAGACTTCCCGCTAAGGTACAGACATGAAAGATGAGTAGCTCTGGAGTCCTTCACCCAGAAAAAGTGAGAGAGGCCCCAGGAGGAGTTGACTAGCCATGAAAGAGGCTACAGAGACGGGAAGGTCTGAAATACCAGGGGGGTGACCTCAAAGTAAACTACAGTGGTTATAGCACTGGAAAGAAGCACAGGGTGCCAACAGCTCACTGCTCTGGGGATCAACTTGGAATACTGTCAGAAGGAGGAAGACTTAAAAGCTATATGCAAAGTCTAGGCCAATAGTACATGACAGTGCACAGGATACACTCAGTAAGGGGCTAGGTGGACTATCTCACACCTGTAACACTCAGCAAGTCCTGGTAAAGGGCATCTCTAAAACAGAAAAGGTCAAAAGCAATTGAGGCTGAGCAGGTAATAAATGAGCAAGCAGGGGCCTGGTAGCTTGTGATGCCCTGAAGACATTTATGCTATGGAGTAGAGGAGTACAAAGAAAGAAGAACAGAAAGCCAGACTGAGCATGGGCTCTGGGGCAGGAGTATCAGTGGACAAAGAAGCTGGAAAAAGTCTTTGGAAGTGGCCCAGAAACCAAAGAACACACAATGGGAAGGAGAGGCTTTCTAGAAACCAGGGAACTAGTGCATGCAGAAACACAGATAAGGGGAGGAGAAAGCAAGACTGGGGCCACTTCCATAACTGGGCTAATCACCTTCTGTGGAAATAAAATGGGCAACTGAGAGAATTCAGGTTTGAATTCTGAGGGTCCTCAGTGAGAAAAGAGGATAACTGCACACATTTTTAACTTCTGAATTTCAGTGAATAAATCTGAGTATCTAAAAGGAGCAAACACAATCTCACAATTATAGTAGTACTTACCCAACCTGAATGAGCTCGTTCAATTTCGTTGCATTCTTGTCATCCATACCTTTAAACGTAAGATACATAAATGAGATCACAGGGTAGTTAGGAGCAAAATTATTTGACTCTCATATAGTTATCTTCCATATAAATCCTGCCACTAAATAAAGTGGCAGAATTCAAGAATAAAACCTCTGTGGTAGCTAAAGCCCTTTACCCCAAGGTAATTCAGAAAGTTTGCTACCCAAGAAGAATTCCATTAACCAACACATCTCAGTCTGCCAGATCTCCCTTTAGCCACTTTCAAAAAGATTCATCTGCTGACCTCTTCCAGAAGTTCTCCCTAATCCCTTGCTACTACTAAGTTGCTATTTGACCTGGAATGCTGATTTTGATGACTGCTCTCCCTAGTTAACATGCCAGGCCTGTGCACAATTTCCCTGCTGGGTGCCACACCCAAAGGTGTCCACATGTGGACCCTCAGGTATACAGGTTGGAATCCACACAACCCCAAGACCTACAGAACAATGAGTCTAACACACTCATTATTGGTTAGAGCAGAAGTGCCACTGACCTTACTGCTGCCAAGGAAAACGTGTAGGAAAGAAAGTTAGCAAGAAGTTACTGGGAGAAGAAAAAGAAAAAGAAGCTGGTAGAAGAATCCAGATGGAGGCACTTGTTTGCTCACTGCAAAATTCCTTCAATTCCTTGAACTCTTCCACATTTTGAGGGTATGGAAACCACAAACACAAAGCCAGAAACTAAGGTGATATCGTAAAAGCAGTGAGCCAGTTTAAACTCACATAAAGCAATGAGGACCCAGATGACCACTGATCTCTCATCAGAAATAACACAGGCCAGAGACACTGGACAGCAACTTTAATGCAATTTTTTAAAAACCTGTTAGATCAGAATTCTGTATCTACTAAAAATTTAGTAAGAGTGAAGACAAAACAAAGACTTTCCAGATAAATAATAACTAAAAGAATTGATGGCTGGTGTAACTGTGTGAAAAGAAATGAAGTTTTTCAATCAAAGGAAAAGGATCCCATATAGAAACGGTACTTCAGAAAAGAAAAAAGAACACTGGACAGGGCAAATGTAAGTGCTTTCACATAAACGGAACCAGATGTTGTGGTACCCTCACAGGAGCTAATCAGCTAACCCTTCTGTGGATAAGACTTTAAGACCAGGAAGGCCAGTCTGGCCAGGGAGTCAGGGGTAATGGAGCTAAGATCTGAAGGAGGTGACAGGTCAGTGAAGAGGGGCAGGGCAGGTGAAAGGCCACACAGTCCTGTATCTGCACAGAAAAAGGAGATAAAGCCTAAGAGGAAGTGACTGAACTGGATCACACAGACCCTGGCAGACTTCATGGGACTTTCTGCACTTCTTCTAGGACTGTAAGGAGAGGCTTTTCATCATTGACCCAACCCTGGTCGAGTGATCTCTCAGAAGAGGATACCAGTGCCACCAACCCAGTACCTAAAAGGCCCCATCCAAGCACCAAGCATGAGGACTTCGTACAAGACCTGACTGCTCACGATGGTGAGAGCTGGAGAGCCAGCCATGGGCACACAAAACATGTCATCAGCAGCTGCGCTTAGCTCACTCCATTACAGGACAGAGCAAAAGACTGTCATTTGTTTCATGAGGGGGTCTGAGCACATCACTCATTTCCTTCAATCCTGAACACCCTTCAAGTCCTTTTGCAACTAGCATTTACAACAGTCAGCAGGTAGATACCACAGGACAGGGCCGACACAAGTCAGCCTTGCTTAGGACTCAAATTTGTCTGGAGAAGAGACTCTAAGCAGAACAAGCATGTCAAGAAAATCTTGCTCTAACTACCAGCTTTCAAACATATTTTCCAAATGGTCCCGAGAGAACTGCTCAAGCACAAGCCTCAAAAAAATGCTAGCAGGTATTGAGTGCACACTGCCAAAAAGACACAGAAGAACTCAACAAATGGATAAGGCCTAGGAGTCCAAATGTGACAAAGTTGATTGAGTAGTATTGGAGGGGTCCATAGAGGTGTGGAGGGACATAACCCTATAATATGAAGGACTCCTGACAGATCTACAAACCATCACATGTGGGCTACAGATGTGTGCAATGATATGAGTGTATGGTGAAGTGTGAGGGAGACAGGTTGGGAGGGACCAACCAGCAAAACCTGCAGAATTTGAATAAACACAAGCTGAACCATAAGAGCAAGGAAAACCCCACTCTGACCAAGCAGCCACCTGACAGAGGAATGCATATAATCAGGAAGATGAGTCTTATAACCAGGAAGCTGATGAGTCTCAGGTTTCAGTAAAGAGGCCTTTAGTTAGGAAAGCCAGTGTTACTTGAGTAACAGAAAGCCATCCAAGGTCACAGAGAAGGAATAAGACAACATGCCTAAGACTAAGGTAGAGGGCCTAAAAAAGGCCAAAGCGCTCTACTCAAGAAGGGTTCATGCTCAATGTGTTGTCTGGACCAGAGCCTTTCAGGTGAAAAAATGTGAGGACAGTAAAGGAAAGAGATTAGAGAGAGGCAGAGACTCATGCTGTGCCTCAGTCAGAGGCCAGAGGACTGGGAAAGAAGCTTTTGGTTTCTAGAAAAGAAACACTCACAGAGGGAGAACAAATAGGAACCGGGCTGTCAAGGAGTACACAGCAGATCCACAGTGAAGACAAAATGGGAAGAGTGGAACCACTCAGCCCAAGGAGCAGGTAGAAAGGTAGATGAGGGCAGCCCAAGGCATCATCTCCAGCAGCTCCCTCTGTGCTGCTGCCATCCACTATGATGAGTACAAGTGGTCCCAAGGTGGGGCTGGGAAGGAAGCAGGTATCAGGGTAGAGGGTAATGGGACTGCTCAATGTGTTGATGGCCTGAAGCTACAAGGCTGGGTGAAGACAGCCACAGGGGAACTGAGATTCAAAATGAGGAGGGGAATCTCCAGGGCATGAAAGTCATAGGGAGTCTGGAGGCAGAGGGTCTAGGACCTGAAGGAAGGTGACTGGAAAGAGTGGGACCTCTGAGCCTGGACCCAAATCTTTACCTCAGAGCAGTAGAACAGTGGTGGAGGGCTCAGAATAGGAGCAAAAAAGGAGAAAACATCCAAGGGCACTACAGAGAAGTTTGGCACCTACTAAACACAAACATTAGGCTGGCCCACAGAAGCTACCAGCTAGTCAATGATGAGACATGCAGAGAGTAAGTGCTCAGGTGATGGCAAAAGACACAAGGAGCAGCCAGCAAATAGCTGCCCTCTGTAGTACTACAGCCCATTTTGTGCTGTGATACATTAGATGACCTGACAATGTCCACTGGACCAGAGAGCCTAGGGTCACAGAGGAAGCACACGTAGGGCTAAAATGCATAAGGCACAGATGCATACCAAGTAGCCATGCAGAGTTCTAGAGGAAATCCAGTCACAGAGAAATCATGACAGCACATAGCAAGTGAAGAAGTCCTTGGTAAAGGACCGACTTTTCAAAAATACCAGTACCACAGTACAAAGATCAAAAACCAGGATGATTTTCAGTCCAAGGGACTCAGGAAGATATCAAGAGTCACATGTCAGGCAACAGCCCTTAACAGAAGCCCTTACCAATATGTGGGAATATTATGAAAAATCTAAAATGGGTAAGAATTTAGGTAGATTGCTGCACCTGCTTGACAGGTGTGAAATGTCTCAGTGAGACCATGAGATGTACTTGTATATATAGTGTGCCTATGTTCTTGGGTGAGGCAGGCTGCAGTCTCTAAGGTGTAGTTTCTAAGTGGTCCTATAGTAAGACAGTAGAAGAAGAGAAGAGTGGTGTGTGTGTGTGTGTGTGAGAGAGAGAGAGAGAGAGAAGAGAGAGAGAGAAAGAGAGAAAGAGAAAAACAGACAGACAGACAGAGACAGACAGAGACAGAGACAGAGACAGAGACAGAGACAGAGACAGAGACAGAGAAATAAATGTGACCAACATTAACCACTGGTAAACCTAAGGGAAGGCATGCACATCACATGCTTTTTCAATTTTCTGTTATTAAAATGTTTTAAAATAAAATCAGAAGGGAAAGTAAGTGATTCTAGCCATGAAAGGTCAGTGGTGACAAAGGCAAGGGGAGTCTGAGGACAGGCAGGGTACTCACAGCCCCCAATCTTCTTGCGCAGTTCACCATAGCAGATGAGGCCATATAGCTCCTGGGATGACTTCTTCAGCCCTCGTGAGAACACTGGAAGATGATAAAAGGCAGAACTTAGGACGGGGGCCCAGATACCTTGCAGGGTACAACCTGTGCACACAGGAATGACACTTCGTAGCATTTCCAAGAAGGCTCAGGTAGGGCTGGAGAGATGGCTCAGTGGTCTAAAGCACCTACTTAGAACAAG